GATTTTAGTAGGATTTATATTTTCAAATTAAGGCCCCTAAATTTCAGCATCATCCGATTTCAGCATCATCCCCGACAGTTATTAATATTATCATAAACTCTAAAACACTTTACTTACTCTTTTTGTTATACTTTCTGCTGTATGATCTTGTTGAGTTACTTCAACATCAATTAGGTGAATTGTTTCCCATAATTCTGTAATCTTAATTTCAGTCACTGCATTGAATGTTTTAAAAGGTATTTCTTTTAACGATTGGCGTTCAAAGATGCTACAAACTAGATTAATTGGTTGCTGGACACTTCTAATAAGCTCATCTTTTAAAGTAGGGTTACTTTCCACAATGCGTCGAATTTCTTTTATTGTATTCGCTTTTTTTATTACTTTTTCTAGCTCATCATCCATTTTACTTCGCATTAGACCAATGCATTGCAGCCCAAGATTTAAAATAGACATTATGCACTCTACTGAATTTTTCTAAGAGTATTGGGGTGGGGTTCTTACTGCAACGAAGTAGTCAAGGTCTAAGGCCAGAAATAAGCATATGTACGACAATTGAACGCGTATAAATGTACAATGGTGGTCAGGTCCACCATCTGTATAAAGACAGAGAACAGGTTTGTTGGTGATGTTTTTTTCCAGTAAGATATTATATAATTCAGCAGCATGTCTCATTGGCGAAGAAGGCTGAAAAATAGCATCTTTTAATCCAATATGAACCTCTCCCGCATAAAAATCTCCATTAATTGACTCTGGGATATCACATATTATTGTAATACTTGGTATTATTCCGGTCTTCATATAGTCATGATCACTAACTATCATTGTAGAACCATTACTAACAACAACTTGCTTACCTCTTTCTATAGCAGCTACTGGATATCTGAGTTCTCCAATTTTACACCTATGTTTGTCATCTAAAAATACTAAAGTCATAATTTCACGAAACTTTGTGGCAAATTCTTTTCATATCGAAACAATGCAGATGCATAATGCACATCTGGATGATGAGCACGAAGCTGACGAACTTGTATTATAAATTTTAAAGGTAGGAGTCCAGTATACTGTAAACTACTAAGTCTAGTCGGATTTTTAGACCAGAATTGGAGACGAAGCTATTGGTGCTTGGAATTGGTGTATTGGGAGGACATTTATTTTTTATCTGAGTTAGTAAGTCATTAACTGAAATAGCAGTTGCTAGGTGAACAATTGTATCATGTCGATGTTCGTCGACCACTGTTACAAACTCTGATGCTTTTTTTGAAAGAAAATCAGCCACAATTTTCCAAAAAGCCTTATATTTACTTGGTCTACCAGGATTATGTTCACATAAATCAGTTGTAATTTCAGAGTCACCTAATTCAAGAGCTAATCTAATTCTTTCATCTATTTCTGCTTCGTTGACAGACTCAGGTGCAGAAGAATCTCTGATTAACATACGATAAATTGTGTGGAGCGCTGCAGGTTTAGCTTTTGGTAAAAGTAGGTCACATGTATACAAATAGCTGGCTTTCATTGCATGAGTATGATAGTGAGAGGCTTTGACCTGAAGCTCATTAACTATATTTGTGTTTTGTTGCATCAATGTAGTTTCATCAGCATTACTATCTATTTTCCAAATTGAAATTGCATTAAATGCATTATTGCCAGAATTAAACCGAAATTTGCCAAGTTTAAAGATAAATGCTCAAGATAACCCTTGTACGTAATGCATTCTTGAACTACAAATAAACGAATATGAGATTAGCTATTAACAATTATTACCATATTTTCATGAAATAACGCGCAAGAGCGTTATTTCGCGAAAATATGGTATTTTCAATTTATTTACACAGGAGTTGTTGGTAAATAATTTTCGACATCAATTGGTGTCCATAAAGGTAAATCATTAAGAGTATTTTCTAATTGGTGATATTTGATTTTGTCATCCGGTGTTACAAAAATATTACTTTGATGAATTTTAACTTTTATAGCATCTTCTATATTGCGTACTGGAAATGTAGATGCATGGTTTTCTGTTGTAATTTTATTTTGTTGCTGTAAAAAACTAACATAATTTGAAATAGTCATGATCAAGCTATTATAGGATTCACGAAGCCAAGTAAATAATGGTTTGAATATCCACAGTAATGTTGTATGTAATGCGAGGGCTTGGCAATGAAGATTTAACTCAATTGCATTAAAAGGTTTTTTGGATGCCTTATACAACTCAGGGTTAGCACAACCAAAAAAGCCTAAGAATAATTCTGGAATATGATAGCTACATTCTTCAAATTTTTTGTGACCATGCATATCAATATACCAAATTGCTTCAGATAAACAACTAACAAATTTTTTTCCTTGTATATTAGCATATTCAGCTAAAGACCATCCTCCTCCATGTTGAAGAATCTATTTAATTATATCATTGTATAATGTTTGTTTCCTGTTTAATCGTTCTGATTTTAAAATAGATGGCAAGTATATTTGTTTTTTTTGCATTATCATTTTGAATGCATTTTGGCAAGACACTAGAGAAGTTATGTTATCATTGGGTTTAAGAATATAGTGTATATTTATGCCAAATATCTTGGTTAGCTCTATTATTCCACAACTGTGACTGGTTTGAATAGCTGTTGCACCTAATATTTGGCTTAGTTCAATACGATCAATTATTTCCAAAGAATTTATAGAAATATTGCATTCTGGAGATATTTTACTTGTAACAAGTTTTTCAAAAAAATCTTTAATAGACATCTCATATGGGATAGAATGGATATACCAACCATGAAGTATTTTAGATCCTTTTGAAATGCATACGTTTGCAACTGGCATATTTTTTTGTTCGAAGTTTAGACAAAATTTTATATGTATATTTTAGATTTTATTTTGACTCTTATTTATATGTTTTATTTTAAATAGTTAATGCTTTCTTTTCACATAGCAAAGTATATTTCAATTGGTAATTTCGCTATACAAATAATGTTTTCTGATTCTCAGATAAGTATTATACTCAATTTATTTTTGATATATTACGTTTATCGAATTAGATTAGCAATTTTCGAAAAATTTAACTTTAGCTTTTTACTATAATCAAAGTTCTTTGATCAGGTCTCATAGAACTATGATAATATGCAGAGCTAAATGCAGTAATAAAGGCTTCAAATTTGAGCTGATCTAATTTGAAAAGAGCAATAACTTTCTTATCTATAACTTCCAGGTAATAATTGTCTGATACACATTTCTACTAAAAACAGAAAGAATTTTTAATGGAAGGTAAACAAATGCATTTTAATCGAATTTAATACACTAAGATAAAATCATGGCCATGGTTGGAAAAAAGTTAGTTAGCAATACGACACAAAGATTATAAAAAAAAAAGTAAAGTACATAGAATTTTGGAACAAAATTGATAGTTATAGAATCTTGATATTAAAAATGTGGAAAGTCCTCCTTATCTGTGAGTCATATGAATCTACATTATGATTCTGAACTGCATATTTTATATTATTGTTTGACAATAAATAATATGATCATTAGTGCATAAATTTCATTATAATTGCATGTTAAAACAATCATTATACAGTTATAGCTAAATGCGATTGTTATAATTTTCTTTGTTGAATTTCT